CGTTATCTCGAAAGTCAAAAGGCAGCCCGAAAACAGGCTTTCGCACGTCCCCTTTTTTCCTCATTTCCCCTCCTCTCTTCCGTCCCAATTTCTGAAATTCTTTCACATGTTTTCCTTTTCTCCCCCATTTCCACTTCTCTCTTCTTCCGTCACAATCTTTGAAATTGTAGATTACCTTATCTCGGCTCGAGTTTGAGCCGTCGATTGACGCACCGACACTTATCACACGGCCATCAATCCGTCTGATGAGCCGACTTTTGGGTGCCAGCGAGCGGCTAGGGTTTCAGCTGAGCAACGGCTGTTTCGTCTGGTGGGAAGTATCCTACATCGTGCGGCGGTGGCAGAGGGAGGATCTTCTCCAGAGGAGCTCCTTGGCTCTGCGCTGCAGCGGCATGGTTTTCTCGCTGCTTGCTTTCGTTATAATGGTCGGCAACAAGCGAGATTGGAGAGATTTCGATAAATATGAAGAATACATGTAACGATTAAATATATTCCGATTTAATTTCTTGTATTGTTGTTATTCGGGCGATGGTGATTGTGGTTACTATATTTTCTTTTTGTAGGTATGTGGTTGTGACAAAAAATTTGTACACCGAATTTCAAGCTTTCTGGCAGGTTTACCAACTTTCGACCGGTAGAGAGGTGGTTTCCCTATGTGGGGATGATTGATTTTTTGGGCCATCAGGTTCTTATTTGCTTGATTATTCAATGGTGGATAAATATGGACATTTTTTTATGGAAATATACATGGCAATTTTCGCATTTCTCTCATTGGGTTTGTCGGCTCTTATTTCCAGATACAAATTCTTGCATCAAACGTACATTTCATCAGCTCCCGTGTCAAAAATGGTTACCCTTGGCTGATTGTTCTCTCTGTTTTAGCTTTATCATCCTAAATGTGCATTTTTACGTGTAAATTAATTTAAGGCCTTTTATTTAATACTGAGCTGGCATTTGATTTTCTATGTGATTGTATATGCTCATAAATGTGTAGTCGTGAAGTGAAGGACCTCACAAAAGAGAAATTTTCCGGACAGTAAAAATTGTACTTGTGCATGAAATGAAGTCTTTCTCTGCCTATCTCTATTTTATATGTTTAACACTTTGTACATTTGAGGTGTGTATATCTACTTGCATGAAATTATGAGTGAAAGTTATGTGTACTTATTACATGAATGGCCTTAAGAGTCAACAACATTGGCATATTCACGATGACACCCCTTTTCTGCCATTTCCGTCGGAGCTCAATAGCTGGCACGCCCAGGGGTACGACGACTACCTGGTCACCGAGAAGCCGCACTTCTTCTTTGGATTGTTTGAGTCTAGCTGCGGCCTCTGGTCGTCGCCTGCATGTATGGAATTTCTGTCGGGAAATTTTGGCTGGGCACCGCCTATTTGTTGTATGGGGCTTCAATTCTGACTTCAATGGTAAAGCTCTCATATTTTTGCTTTTTTTTTTACTATTATCGTTGTGGTCTTAATTTGTAGCCTACAAATTGACTATTTGTTGTGATTGTACAATATGTGGTTGAGGTTATGCTTTGTGTGTGTGTGTTTGTATGTCTGCAAAAGTTCATTATTTGGGAAGAACACGGTGTTGGCGTGCTTAATTTGATATCATTTTTTTTTTTTTTT